ATTTCTAATAACTATTTGTCTATAAAGATGAATTCAGATAATAAAAAAAACACATATTTCCTTGTACTGCTTTGAAAACTATTAATCTTAAGCTAAACTAGAAACGTCAGAAAAGAGCAGATCCATTCTGTTATGTCTTAGATCCGGATCAGCTCCAAAATTCAATCATTTGTTTCTTATTTGATCGTTTTAAAATCCCTTTTAGACACATTCCCTTCTGCAGGTACTACAGTTAAAGTCTGAGTCACTGCAGCTCGCTCTGATGTTTTTCTTAAATATGCACTATACGTCAAGTATTTGCTGCTTGTCAAATCGTATATTCAATCCCAATAGAAAAAAGTAAAATCCAAAATCAAATTGAGATTGACCCATATAAGGGAAAATATGGTCTAATCCGGATTCTGAAAATTGCTTCGGTGCAGACATAATAACTTCTTTGTAGCGTCAGTGCTTTTCTTGATTATTTCTTTGACGAATATCTGTACTTTGCACTAATCATATGTTAAAATGGGGAATAGTTAGTTTAAAAACCTTCTGAGATTATGTCATAAAGACAAAACACGCACACAAGTTTAAAATTGTTATCTGTGGTTCTAAGATCATTACTATAGGTTTGTATTGGTTAGCCATGCTTCTAAGTTCATGTATATATGTTTGAAGTGGTTAGCCCTGCTTTGAAGTTCATTTCTACAGGTCTGAAGTGGTGAGCTTCGCTTCTGAGTTCATGAATATAGGTCTGGTGTGAGAGTAATACAGTGATAAAGTTTGTTTATGGTTATTATGCTAATAGTAGCATCGTGGTGCAGTCACATTAAGAGCCATAAAATGAAATGAATGAATTATTATTGATTATTATACAAATGACTTGTTTAGAGCAACTTGAGAAAAGAAACAGAAAATCCCCCAAAACTATAGCTTTGGGTCCCAGACCCTCAGAAAACACCTGGCTTACTTTTTCTCAAGTAAAAGTACTTTAAGGGAAATACTTTAGTACTTTCACTTTAACAATAGTTAGTATCTATGAAAGTGTGTATATTTGCACGTATCAGCAATGAATAGTTCTTTTGCGTCTCGAGAATCAACACCAACAGTATCATCACAAATGTTTTGCGGACGGCCATGTTGGTGAGAGTGAGCAGAGAGCCACACAGCGAGCTTCAGGAATGTGACTGTCAGCCGTACAAAAGCTCAGTGTGTGTGTGTGTGTGTGTGTGTGTGTGTTTGTGTGTGTGTGAGGGGATGTGGGGACGGACTCCTGCCCCCTGCTGTGCGTCGGCCTCACAGCTGTCAGCTCGTCTTCAGTGGAGACGCTTCTACTGATGTTTGACCCGAGGAGTGCGTTTCCGAATCATAAGACTACAGAGTGCGATCAAAAGCCGCACTCTTCATCTTGAACCTCCTTTAAATAGACTGGATTTTGCGTCTTTATCAATCGGATTGGAGTAGGTAGAGGAGTAGGTTTTCAGTGCTTTGTAAATGCACATATAATACACACTATGTATCTACATTGGCCCTCATTTATGAATTTTGCGTACGGCCATGCTGCTGGGCTAATGCTGCTAGGCTAATGCCGGTTGTTTTGCTGCTTTCTGCTGGCATTTGAGCGGTCTGAGCCAAGCTAGCTTTAGCCAATCAAAGTTAAAATAAAAGTTCCTGCAAATGGCCCTGTGGGGAAAGTTCCTGCAGTGGAGACACGCACCAATGTGGCTGGCCCTGGAAAACTACCCCAAAGTTCCTGCGGTGGAAACGTGGCTTTAGTATGAAATTAAATTTGTACGATGGTGTACAACTCCAGGCCTGTTTTTGGTGAGCAAAACTGTCGGAACATGGTTAAAAGATTGTCAAAGTTATAGCAATACGATACAGTATGTCGACTTTAAAGCTGCGGTACCTAACTTCAAACCACAATCAAACGTAACAATGCAATAAAGTCCATCTAACTGTAGTTCCTCACTCTCAAAACAGTTTGGTTCTCTTTCTGGCTTCTGTCACATCATTAGATCTGCTTTTTCAGACAGAAAAGTGAAAAAGAGAGAATCACCCTCATTCAGCCAATCAGCTCTCAGCCCAATGCAGTAGTCCCTCATTTAGGGTTCTTTCTTAAAAGTATTAAAAATACAACACACATTTCTGTTGGGACAATCAACATGGATTATTTATGGGGGGAACGAGGTGGATACCCCAGCTTTAATGGTTTGATTCTCCTCAAAATCTCATTTAAAACACGCAGAGAAGCATTGACGTAATAATAATGTATTACAGCAGTCTCCTCCCAAGATTTCGATTTGATTGCGATTAATCTTTCTTCACATGTCGTTTGAATTATTGCTCAGTGAATACCTTTGGTCTTATTGTGTCTTTTCTTCCATGTTTGTGTGGGGAATGGTGACTCTTGAGAGACCTGAGTCCTGTTTACTGCACACAAACCCAGTGACCTCCGGGATGTGAGCCTCAATGGCTTCAGGAAACAACAGCTTCTCTCTGCTCCAAAGTGCTCAGCCAAGACTGGAGCTGCCGACATTTTAGTCTGTCCATCCACCACCTGTTATCATCACTTCATCACTAAGGACCCCAGAACCGCAGCGTTTGTTTCAGATTTTTTGTTTCACTTTCTTTTGTGACATGTTAGTACCATATAGACCATCTTGGACACTGAGAAGAACATGGACTGGTCTCCTGCTTGAACTCTGAGGTGCACAGGGACTGGCCTTCTATGGGACTCTGAGGTGCACAGGGACTGGCCTTCTATGGGACTCTGAGGTGCGCAGGGACTGGCCTTCTATGGGACTCTGAGGAGCACAGGGACTGGTCTCCTGCTAAACATGGGGACCCAGCAATTCGAACTGTGACAATGTTCATATCCTGGTTAAAAACTGTAATTTTAGCTATGTATCTAACTGAAGGATTTTCTGATGGAAATACTATAGATGGGTGGATGGATGAACAGAACTAGGGCTGCAACAAGTCAACTCTAGTGAATGGATCGCCCTTTGAACCTAACATTGTCAACAATGAGTTTATAAGATAATTAGAAAATTACTGCATAATAGTTCTCTGTTGACCATGTTCTCTGGGAGTATCACTTGAGCTTTGTTTGGGTTGAATGTATAAAATCATTGACAACTAATAAGCCCTAATTGCCTTAATATGTGTTTTCTTAGGTGACATTGCAATGTTGGTTCAAGTTATAAAATATATATATATATATATATATATATATATATATATATATATATATATATATATATATATATATATTTATCTAGGTAAGCAACAAGATTTATATTTAGATACAGTACATGCAAAATAATCTGATTTTTTATTTATTTAGACTTTGATAGAAGAAATATAAACATGTACAAGAACCCCAAGTGTTTGGATACCTGTTTTCAGAAGTCTAAATACCTTCAGATTTGTGATTTCCCTGATTCAAACTATGATTTTTGAAAGGGTTGGTGCTGTTTTGAATGAACTGGAATGACCTGTGTATGCTAGTTTGTTTTTGGTCTGCTTTACAGTGAACTTCCCTCAGATGACAGCAGCCTGCAAAGCCACAGTGCTTTGGCGTGGCTAACCTTGGACTTAGGCTGCGTTTGTGAGCATGCAGAGGTCATAGGGGCTCAAGGAGGGCATGCAGACAGCACGACGCTTAGATACTCTCCCAACACACAACAGACACAGACATGCACACAACATACACTCAACATGACGAGGCAAGGCAAGTTTATTTGTATAGCACAGTTCATACACAAGGCAACTCAAAGTGCTTAATGAGGATAATAATCACGGTGCATTTAAAAGAGTTAAGATAAAGTCCCTCCGCTGTATACACAGCTAAACTGTTTCACAGTCCATCCAAATCATATGTGTGATAATAACTTGGGTGATACTCCATCACTCAAAACTTGTGGAAAATAACAGCCATTTCTTGCATAGAGGTGATGTCACCTCTGCTCTTTTGCCAGTGAGCTTACCTCCCTCCACCCACACAGTGACGGAGTCTCACAATGACTTTGTGGTAAACACACAGAGGAGGGCTTCTGCGTTTGCTGGTACAAAGCGGCACTAGACCTGAGAATAAACTTTTTTCCAACAATTCACATAGGGCTCTATGTGATGGATAACCCTAACCCTATTAACAGTGGTTTAAGGCGAGTTAATTACTGTTACTTAGATTACTTAGATCTTAGCTCCTTGTTAGCATCTTTTATTTTGGGAATAACACCAGGTTTCAAGATCAGCTTTGAGTAAGTCCAGTTTCATGTTAACTGTAGTTCTGGAATAGTCTTTGGGGAAGTTTTGCTCGCAGATAAACACATTTTTCGCGGATATTAGAGGCAGGTCCTGAGCAGCCACATTCGCTGCATTGCTTTGTCACATATTAAGATCCGAAAACACATGTTCTCCTAGTTGACATCATGCTAACACTTTTAGTCTACAATAGAAGCAGTAATAACAAAAGAGATCGACGTGAAGTGAACCGACTGTGGTAATACATCCATGACTGTGGTACTCAGACATTACCCGGCATGGGCCGCTTTTCCGTGGTCACCAACGCTAACTGTTAGAGTGAGCATTGGCTTCGAGTGGTTGCAGCTTTGCACGACAGACAAATATGATTATCAAGATATAAGTGGTATTTACATGGTCAGAGAAAAGTCCATGTGATTTGTTTTGAATCCAGTCGCATTCTTCTGAAGTATCATTGACTTCCAATGAAGTCAATGGTACTTTCCAATGGAAACTGCTGCTGCTTTATATCATTCAGTCAATAGTGTCCATGAGCTTTTGTTAAAGAGTTAAGAAAACATGACACAACTTTTTTCTCATTCCTCTGAAAAAATATGCCAATAATAGTTGGCCATTATGATTATTCAGTGTTTTTTTTTTTTAAGACAAATATTGACTTGTGATGTTTTATCCTTTGTGTTTCAGTACTGTGAAGATGAAGAATAATATTTCCCACTCGCCGCCCTCTGTGGCCGTCGGGACCGGGTGAGGAGCAGTGGGACAAGCGCGGGACAAGGAGTGAGAGAGCAAGCGACTTTGAGGAGAGAGGTAAGAAAAACAGTTGTGACAGAAACACCAATGATCATATTGATTGTATGTACCTTACATTTCTGTTAGTCCCTGAGGTAAAGTTAGTGATAATTGGGACCAAAATACCACAGTGTATTTGCAGGGAAGCTAAGCCTAGCGTACATCGACAGAGAAACTGGGGACAACTAGTTGCAAGGCGGCTTTTGGCAACTGAGAGGAGATGGTGGGAGATGATCAGTTGCCGAAATCGGTCGATGTGCGCGCTCTTACAACTGGAGATGATCAGTCGGTCTCCAGTTCCAGTCAGTTGCCCGTGTTCTACTTTTCGGCAACTAGTTGTCCTCAGTTGCCCCGATGTGCGCGCTCCATGCGCCGCTCCAACAACGTGTGTGTATTGCGTGTATTGCGAGCCCGCAACAGTTTGTTGTCAGAAAACACACTGTAGTTGAGGCCAGTTGCTGTCGATGTACGCGCTGTTATTCAAGAGACTGGCCTGCGACTCAGAGTTGCCCGTTTTCGCCAGATTGTCGATGTGTGCGGGGCAGCAACTCAGAGGCGACGGATATAATCAGTTGCCAGTCCGATGTACGCTAGGCTTTATGCTTGAAACAAAAGATTTTAGAGAAATAACTGCACTTTTATATCATACATTTTATATTTTCTGCACGTTTCTCCTCAAGTGTGCACAGATTTGAGGATGACACATTCTGAACACTCAGAGAGCAGCTGTCCTCCTGTGGACTCACCACCTGCAGAGGGTCAGTGAGGGGCTGGTGCTATGAGACTTGGGTGGCATCTCTGACTGCCACCCCCCTGACCCAGAAATGGATTATAGGGTAGAAAATGGATGGATGGATGGACATTCTGAACAAAAGAAGTGAATTGAACAGCATAAAGGCACAAATGCACTGGTCCATGTTGACATTATTACTGACACGACGGACCAATGACTGTAGAGCAGTGGAGTTAACGCAAAACCATTTTTACCGCGTACATTTTTTAATAGTGCTCCAGGCTTTTATTATATGCACTTATCTGAAATCAGCCCCGCACCCTACGCATGCCACTGTTCAGACTTTTCTGTGTGGAGTTTGCATGTTCTCCCCATCTCTGCGTAAGTTTCCTCCACCACTAAAAACATGCACAATAGTTCTGGTATGCGCCTCCTGTATGATGACCCCGCTCCCATCTCTGTGTGGAGTGAGAGAACATATCCCCACAACAATTGTAAAGCACTTTGTGACTGTGAAAGGAGCTACATAAATAAAGATTACTTACTACTCACTTACTTTCCACTTCAAGAGATGCATGCTTTGTCAGAGATCGTGGTGTATTCACCCCCTGGACCTGTCATACTTGGTACGGACCACTCTTACCTTGTTCAGTGCGCTTGTGTGATACTAAGCTGTTCAGTATAATATGGCACTGCTGACGTTTATCTAAATGATACTTTGTCTCTCAGTCTCAATATAAAATAAGATAAGATAAACCTTTGTTAGTCTCACTGTGGAGAAATTTCAGTGTCATCGTTGCGCACATTACAGCAGAGGAAATAAGAGCTCTCAGAGCACATTACAGGTAGCGCTCACTGATGGTTACTGGACGTCCATCAATCACAACTATCTCAAGGTCACAGCCCAAACCTAAAGCTATAGTTATTTCCACTGCACGTGATATACACTGTTAAAAACCATCTCACTGACTGAGGCCCCGTCCACACTTAGCTGATATTTGTCTTTGTTTGCACCTGTCATCCACATGACAACGCATCATAAACAAATATATGAAAGTGAAGATTATTGAAAACTTATGTTTTGCGTTTTCGCACGTCACAATATGTGCCAAAACAACAACAAACAAACCCTCACTGAAGAAGGATCTTACTGCCTTAAAAACTGTTCGCCGCTGCGTGCGGTTCGCAGCAGCGAACATCCACGCTCCACATCAAAGAGCGGCAAAGTGATCACGGGGACTCACGCTCGAAAACAACCAAAACAGGAGCTAAACCAGGATAAAACCAGAAGACGGGGGTCAGTGCTTGTGAACATACTGTATGTCTTCACCCTGGGATTCTTCTATGACTGTACCGGCGTCTGCATCAAAGCTCCGCCCACTTCTGTGTTTTTCCCCAACGCAGGACGTCAGAGAACGCACATGTTTGGAATGTTATGAATGTGATTGAAAACGCAAAAGGGGAAATAATCAGTTTTTAAAATGCCCGGCTATGTGTGGACATGGCCTTAAACAACACGAGCAAAGGAGTATCCTTTATGAGATAATTAAGTCATTTCTACTATCTAAAATAGTTCTATTGTCAATATAAAGCAAAGCAAAACATGCAAAGATTGAGTAGCCTACATTAGACAATCCAAATACTTTCTTTTTGGAGGGGAATGGCTTCATAAGCTTTTTGCTTCATTCAATCCCTTTTCAAACATAATCAAGTTACATTAGACTTAAAATCATTGCGTTAATGCCATAGGTAATATAGCATTAATGTGATTAATTGCTTGACAGCACTCATTATTTTTACATGGAGTAATGTAAATGTATATTTATGTAAACTTAAATCAACATTGAACCAAGCTAATTTTTCACTCAATATTATACCTCCTTTCCAGGGCTGGACTGGGACAAAAAAACGGCCCGGGCATTTTTTCCTTCTTACCGGCCCAGGCATGTTTTTGTCACGTTTTTTACAGTTTGTTTATACCAGGGATCGGCAACTCAAAAGGTTCAAAGAGCCATATTTGACAAAAAATACTAAAAACATCTGTCTGGAGCCGCAAAAAAATAACAGCCTTGTATAAAGCTTATATGAAGGTTACACAATGTAGCTACATTAGCTACATTAGCCTATTATCTAAATGACCAAGTAAAGGCTACAAATACATGATTAGCATTCATGATTGTCAAATGTGTGTTTTCACTGCAGCGTGTCCTGGAGAGAATGACGCACCACGTGATGACTCTGCTTTAACTTTGACTTCCATTTTTTTGCCTTCATGCAACTGTAGAAACACAGTAAATAAATCTGCTTTTTGGCTCAAAGGTCACACACCTGCGCTGTCCGCTCATATCGATTACGTCACAGGCTGAAGTTTGCTGGAGCTGAATGTCCTTAATGGCCTTTTCTTTCACAGTCTTTGCGGAGGTTTTTGAAGTCTGAAAAAGGTGCTCCGGATTTTGTATGAAAGAATCCTTCACGTAATCCCTGTGAACGGTATTTAGTGCTTCATTGTTCCTCGTGTTGCAACAAAACTTCCTATTACATCGCAAACATGAAGCAGTCCTTCCTCATTGACTGAAGAGCAAATGTTCAGTCTTGATCCTTAGTCCAGTCTTATTATCGACTCGTTCTCTTTTTATCTTTGGGATCCGTGTGCACACGCCGGTTTGTTTACAGCAGCGGCCGTCTGCCGCGGGGCCGCGCCACAGGATATGACTCACTACGTTGACAGAAATGTTGAAATTGAATATTACTTATACACATTTTTACAGCATTGAAATACGTTAGGAATGTTTTTCCTCCTACAGAAACCATATTCAAACTAGGAATAAAATATAGCCCTCCCACTCCATTTTCAGACATTTTTGAAAAGGCTCCAGGAGCCACTGGAGGAGCACTGAAGGTTGCCGACCCCTTGTTTATACAGTATATGGAAGCATACTGTAGAGGATCAGGATGTCTACAGTTTCAACAAAAAAATAAAGTGCAATAGTCTACATTACAAGAGAGTAATAAACATGTCTCAGAGTGAGGGAGGTGGACACAGACAACACTGTTGTTTGTTACAGGGATGAGAATTGGTCAAAAAAGTCTGAAATGCATAATGTCAGCCATTTGGCTGGCTCTAAATCTGTTTAATTTTTTCACAACATTTTACTTTTGGGCTCAAACATGAACTTTTAATGCAATGGGAAATTTAGGCACCCGAGCTTTAATTTAGTCGCACTTTGAGAGGAGAGGGGAGACGCGGACTGTTTCCTGCAGCGGTGTATTTATTGGGTGCACAAATTACGCAAAGACACGCATGGTCCTGTGCACGTTTATGGTCTTGGGTATGGTCACGTTGCGGCTACGTGCTCACCGTGTTGTGTTGTGAGCGGTTCCCGCGTCCAGCTCAGAGCCGCTGGATGCGGGAACACTGCGGCCGCTGAGGTGGTAGAATCCCGTTCGAGTACATACAGCAGGTGCCCGCGGACACGCGCGCCCCCTCGAACAGTTCTCAACGGATTTACACTTTTCACAAACATCTTTTTTGTATGAGGCAAACAGACCGGCCCAAATATGGGCATCGGCCCTTCTGGCATTGCCCGGTACGCCCGATGGCCAGTCCAGCCCTGCTCCTTTCAAACTTCAGAATCTGCAGGATTCACTTCTAGTATTACAATCTGTATATACCTGTCCACAGAGATTGTTAACACAGACATTTATTTATGTATTTACTGTAAACCTTAACTGTTTTTTCAACCCTCAATCGTCGCGCCCAGGTTTCAATGTGTTTTGAGTAATCCACTTTTCAATACTGTCATATAAACGTACTGTTGATCATGGATTTGTAATATTGAAGTGTGAAGTGAGTGTATACAAAACATGTTTTTGAAGCTGATGTATTTTTCTGCTCTCTCTCTCTGCAGACAGTTGATGGTGGTCTGGGGGGCGCTCGCACAGGCCTGGACGGCGCGGCTCCACACACTCGTGCTCATGGCTGCGGCTCACTGAGGCATGGCTGCTGCCGCCGATGCCTCACTACGTTTTACCGCACTGACGCCGGAGGAAGAGGGACACGCCAGGCCATACGGGACCAGCCCAGGCCAGCCACGGGCCGACCGAGAGCGAGAGAGGGGGAGAGAGAGGGGGTCAGACAGGGAGAGAGAGAGAGAAAGGGGGATAGAAGGACAGTTGGGACAGGTAGGACAGGTGGGACAGGTGGGGAGCGAGTGCCTGGTGTGTGGAGCTCTGTTTTCGTCTCAGGATAAACTCCGGCTTCATGCTCTGAGTCACAGCGGAGACAAACCCTTCCACTGCTCACAGCCGCTCTGCCCCAAGGCCTTCAGCTCCAAGTACAAGCTCTTCAGGTCTGCACACTCTAATCACACTTAGCTTTACCTTTTTAATGTTGCTGACGCTCTCCCCTGTGTCTGCAGGCATATGGCCACACACTCACCGCAGAAGTCGCATCAGTGTACGTTCTGTGAAAAGATGTTCCACCGCAAAGACCACCTGAAGAACCATCTGCAGACTCATGACCCAAACAAAGAAGCCTTCAAGTGTGAGGAGTGTGGAAAGCATTACAACACCAAGCTGGGCTACAAGAGGCATGTGGCCATGCACTCGGCCACCTCCGGAGACCTGACGTGTAAAGTGTGTCTGCAGAGCTACGAGAGCACACCGGTGCTGCTAGAACATTTGAAGAGCCACTCGGGGAAGTCCTCCGGAGGAGCCAAGGAGAAGAAGCACCCATGTGACCACTGTGACCGACGCTTCTACACACGCAAAGATGTGCGGCGTCACATGGTGGTGCACACGGGCCGAAAGGATTTCCTGTGTCAGTACTGCGCCCAGCGCTTTGGCCGCAAAGACCACCTGACCCGACACGTGAAGAAGAGCCACTCCCAGGAGCTGCTGAAGATCAAGAGTGAGCCCCCCGACATGCTGGGCCTGTTGGCCTCAGCGTCGCCCCCTTGTGCCATCAAAGAGGAGCTTAGTCCTATGATGTGCGCCATGGGCCAAAGCAAAGACCCTGTGATGGGGAAGGCCTTCAGCACTGCCCCCTTCTCCATGTACAACCCCCACCCTCACATGTCTACCCCCACACACCCCACCCTCATGCCCATGGCCATGGGCTGTCACGAACCCCCACACCACCCACTCTCTCACCACCATCACCATCATCACCACCATCACCACCACCACCACTCCCCCCCGTCCCCTCCACAACCCCCTCAGCCCAAGTACCCTGTGGGATCTACCTCATACCTGCTGGAGAAGCCACTGAAGGTGGAGATGGAGAGTTTCCTGATGGATCTGCAGAGCGGGCTGGGCCCGGTGCCTCTGCCGGAGCCTCACTCTGCTGTGGAGCATAAAGAGGAGGGCCCTGCTGGTGTAGAGGAGCTGGAGCCTCTGTCCAAGAGCCCCGCGGTGCTTGCAGAGTCTCTGTGTGCTGCTAACATGGACTTCTCCCACCTGCTGGGCTTCCTGCCTCTGAACCTGCCTCCCTACAACGCCCCCATGAGCTCAGGAGGGCTGGTGATGGGCTACACCTCGGCCCCCTCCTCCACCTCTTCTTCTGTGCACGACCCTCACGGCGCTGCGCTTACCTCTGTGCAACAACCACCTCAGGAGCTTACACTGCCCCCAGTGTTCAGCTCCACCACACTGCCACGCTTCCACCAGGCCTTCCAGTGACAGCGCCACCTGCGGGACGCACACAGACAAGCGCACAACAAGCTCGCCTTTGTCTATCCTACCAGTATAATGAGTATAACGACATATTAACCTTTTATTACCTCTGTTTACCCCAGCCTTTATTTAGTCGCATAGAGCAGCATCAGTAGGCCTATAGGCGTGGTACTGCGAACCTTTGAAAATAATAATATAACAAAAAAAAATCAAGGATAATTTTAGTGCAGATTATTGTTTTGTTGTGACCCAGAAAAATATAGTTTGAAGTGGATATTGTTGTTTTTATTTTCCTTTTCCAAATGTAAGAGCGTGTCGCATCTTTTGTAGGTTCCTTACACTTCCTGGAAGTGAAGGAACAGATGCAGGCCACGATTGTAAATTCTTCCTTTCAGTGGTAAAAGGCAAAGGCCAGATTCGCCACCAGCCTCTAAAAAGTGCTCTTCAAACCAACCCCAACATGTCCCTGATATCGCCACCACTATTGCTCGTAGAGTGAAGCTGGTGAGCCTCAAAGTCCGATCTTCAGTGAGTGAGACGGCGAATTGTCCAATGATTGAAAATGTACTATCATGCTGGTTTTGTCTTCCTTTTTCCTCAAGAAAAGCACTTTTTTAGCAAAGGCACTTCATCTTATATAGTACTTTCTTTAGTAATCTTGCTCTTATTGGCAGTTTCCCAAGACGTCACGCTTAACAGTCCCTGGATGGGAAGTTGGCATGGTAACACAGAATGTTGGCGGTTTATGATCCAAGACGATAGAAAGGTGACGTAGCTGGTAAACATGGCAGAGAGACAATCTCCCTCACATTTTCTCCCATTTGGAGAATGTGATTTTGAAGTAGTTTGTAGATTTTCAAATTCATCAAATTCCTTCCTATCTGTCGTACTGTACCCTAAGGGTAAAGTATTGACATGGGTGAATGTGTTTTATAACTATTTTACAAAAGACACTATCTGAGAAGAACAGAATGTACAAACCTATATGGGAGAAAGTTAGCTTTAATGGCAATTCTGTAGGTACTTGTCCTCCGGGTCACTGGTCAAAACTAATGTCATTAGAACAAATTGTCAAAGCCTTAGCAGGTCAGAGTCTGGTCAGTATTCTGATGGGAGACCATAATGACAGGAGCAACAGTGGGAAGAATGATTCTTTGGATTTATGAAGTCTGATATATTGAATAGAATAAGGAGAATAAACAATAATATTTACAATATGTTTTGCCAAGGACCTACTGAATCGAAACCAAGATTATCTCAAATATCAATTTTCACCTCAAATGAAGAGTAGAATACACCACTTCAGTTCGTAGTTAATATCTATGTTAAATTTAAGGTGAAGGAATACTTTACAAGTGTAAATAACAACAGTTACAAACACAATCCTCTGCATCTCATACAGTTCATGATCGTTATTAATGTACTCGAGATCATAGTGTGTTACCATGGTAACTGTACCATCCAGTGGAGGCAAAGTGAAGTCAGCGAAAACTGTCAACCTTTTTGTTTCAATTTGTGAGGTTTTTCCATTATTCTCAGGCCGGGAATCGGTCTGAGCTAGAGACATTTTAGCTCTTTTACAACTCTGCGAGGATTTAAAAAAAAAAAAATCTTTATAACTTTCTTGCGCCAATACTGTAAACCCCTGTTTATCTCAGTTTATGAATCTCGACTTTTCACAAAGCTATAGTGCGCTCTGGTCATGCTAAACCCTGACAGATGTGAAACGCAAGCTAACAAGCAATAGTTGTGTTAAAGAATGTTATTGCAGTGTACGAAAAATCTCAAAATTGAATATTATAAATGCGTTTATCTCAGTACAAAGTGTATTTTTAGCTATAGTTGATATTTTTGATGTCTGGCAGGTTTACAATGTATCTTGCTTTTTTTTTTCTTTCTCTCAAAGGACGGATGAAGTATTATTAGCTTTCGGTGTCACATCCAGTCTTTTTACCTTGTATGTTAGCTTAGCAGAATCAAAACTGTGGGAAATCTATATAGGGCTGTTAGCGGCTAATAATCAGTTAGCATGTGAGCTAGAAAGCGTTAGCGTCATAGGAAATCATGTGAAAGGAACGAAAAGTGTATTAAGACTTTTGTACGGACTATTTTAAACTTTGTCACCACCAGCCTTTACAATACCTGAGCCCAAAGCTAACAGAAACCTCAACTAACACATGTCCACTTTCACCGTTCGCGAAACTCAAACAAAAGTGAAGAGACTAAACTTAGCACATAAAATCTAATGAAATATTTGCTGCTTTTTGCTACGGTTGCTGACGGATTCCAACTGTAGACCACTAGAACATTTCAATATGTCATACTTCCACAATGGACAGTGTTTCTTTACTTGCATCGTTAAAAGAACAGGAATAATCACATGAGTTTATATAAGACTTGAATTTAGAGGCTTTGAATACATACTATTTCAATACCTACATGTTAACTTGGAATATTAGCTTGAAGCAGCTTATAAACGTTCATTCTAATACAGTTTAGGCTTACGTAAAGAGCGTATGACATGTTTTGATGATTTTCAAATGTTGCGTAATTTTTGGAAAATTACCTCAGTATAAAATATTATTGATAGTTTTACACCTTTTAAGTCACAGTTTGCGAAGAAATAAATATGGGAAAAGGGTTGAACTGGGCAGGAAGTAGAGCACAGTTCTAGAGCTGATGACATCACGGTGGGACAGAGAGAACTCATCCTAAAGGTCGGCATTACAATGACATCAATAATCATTACTAAAATGAGTGAAGATGCAATCCTTGCAACATACAGTGCTTGTCTTGTCAATTAATAAGAAGAGATTTGGTTCAGTTTATTACAAGGGTCCAAATGTGATGTCATCAACAATAAAAATTACAAAAAAATAAAAAATTTAAACTGAAACAAAATTTGTGAAATATTTAGATAAATGTTACATTTGATGTGCTTTGTGACATAGTTCACACGCAGAAACTGTCATACGCACTTTATTACCAATAATATTATCTGGCTTAAAATGACATGAAATCAGTTTCTAGAGCTGGTCTTTTAGTCAACCAAAACATATATTAATTGACTAATTGTCTTGATTGAAATTATAAGTAGTTTATCATGGGAATAATAGTTCAATATTGGCAGGAGAACAATTTGGGGGTACTACAATTTATGTCACTAAATGATCTGCCAGTGGAGTTAGCAAATCACACTTGAAATGAACATAACATATCGTTATTTCACTGGCAAATAATTCAGTGAGAAACAGTGGAACCTGTAGTAATAAGGTGTTTCCATATTGTGCTTCTAATCTGATTTCAAGTCATAAGAAATAAAAATAAACACATGATTTTATCCATTCAAATATCACAAAAAACGTTCATACAGACAATGCAGACGTTAAAAAACAATAAAACCAAGTTTGTTGAACTTAATGTGAATATTCCTCTTTTGGCAGTGCTCTCAGCTGCTTTAGTGTCAAAGAAAAGGGTCGGAAACGGAGGCACTCGTGAGTGGTGCCTTCAGTTTGTTATGTTGTTGTCATTTTATGATATTATTATTTTCTGTTTGTAAAAAAAAAAAAAAAAAAAACAGGACCTCAAAAACAACACAACACATCACCTCATTTTATTTTTTGTTTATATTTTTTTCTTACCAAAACCTGGGGAGAAGAAACTCCACTTTTGCGCAATAGCATCTCTGTTCATTCTATGATGTAATCCCTTGTCAGAAGTACTCATGCCTATCCATTATATTTTCTTTATTATTTACTTTCCCTATCAATCAGTCCCAAAGTGAGCTAATAAACCACTATAATTAAATCTATTATAATAGTCAATCCCTGGAACGCCATTAGTTGAATAATGGTTGTTGTTTTGATCAATTTTTTTACTTGATCCTAAATTTCTTGTCTGCACCTTTGATAAATATATTGCAAAATATTGAAAGGAAAAAAAAGGACAAGATTCTCGAACGTTATACTCTTTTTAAAAAGGAAATTGTTGAGGCTTAAGCAGCGGGCTAGCTCGATGTTAGCTCACTGTTAGCTCTGTGTTAGCTTCGGTATGAGTATAAAGTGAAACAAATCTCAGATTTAAACTTAAGACCCACCAATTGTTTATATATATATCATTTTACTTTTTGGCATTATAGTTACCTTAATTAGTTTCAAAAAGAGGATAAAACACAAGCCTCTGGCACAATCATGTTTTTACTCCAACCCACTTATAACACTCACCTAATAAATGAAAATGGACTATTATATCTGAATCAGATTGAGGTCAGGCTTAGGACCGGTTAGTGAGGTCTTAACAGTGTGCTAGCTCCCTGTTCTTAAACCGGAAGGAGACCCAGGACACGCTGGTAGGAACTGTACCCAGGATTCCCCCTGGTGTGACCTGGAGGAAGTGTAAGTGGATCGGCAAGTCTGGGCGTCTCTGCGTAGACTGCTGCCCCTGAGTCCCAGCCCCAGAAAAAGTGTAAGAAAATGGATGGATGTATGTAAATATAGTTTATGGCATCTGAGCAATGATTATTCATCTTTTAAACATAGGAAAGAACTGAAATACTAATGCTAACACGCAAGCTAACGGTGAGTTAGTATGTACAGAGCCCATTCAGCAGTTATAGTCTCTTATTGTTTATTCTGCAAAATGAGTCCATTAATATGTTAAAAAAGAAAAATTATAATATGGACATTTTATCTTACATGATTTTTTTTAAACGCAAGCTGTTGGCATGTTTCCAGTTTGTCCTCCCTGGGTTTCTGTGAGCTAATCTGAATTCTAGCACTTTCAACCTTTAAAAAGAGTATTTTCTTTAAAGTTTTCAGCTGAATTGTTGTAATTTTTGTATTTTTGATGGTGTATATGTACGTGCCATTAGTTTGATGTGTAGACTTATCAGCCTCTGTGTATTTGTTTCCTTGGAATAACAGTATTTTTGATAAACCTTTCACTAATATTCTTTTTGAATCTATCCCCTGGTTTTTCCTGAAGGATTTACATCATAAATACTTTTG